ACTCTGTGGACAATGAGTCCCGTTGTTAGGTAGAATGCCTAAGCATCTTCTAATTATATCCATACCTCTGATTGAAGCCAAATGAAGTTGGTTAAGATTTACATTTGAGATTTTAGTCATTTAGCAGACGCTCTTATCCAGAGCGACTTACAGTTAGTGCATACATCTACCAACTGAGCTACATCCCTGCCGGCCATTCCCTCCCCTACCCTGGACGATGCTGAGCCAATTGTGCGCCATCCCATGGGTCTCCCGGTCGCGGCCGGCTACGACAGAACCTGGATTCGAACCAGGATCTCTAGTGGCACAGACCACTGCGCCACTCGGGAGTCCGAGATGGCATCTCATGGAGACATAACATGCACAGTTTGAGCTAGTCCACATTTAATTGAGCTAATGGCAAAATTCACTAATAATTAAAATAAAATAAAATCTTATTTTCTATAAGGAGTTCGAGCAATAGATCATTCTACATTCTTCAAATAAGAAAGCTGTAAAAACAGTCAATATGTTTGTGTCTTTTAATGCCTTTGTATAATCTGTCATTTGTTGTACCCCCTAGCATATAGCATACAGGTTGCTCTTGTTTGTTTATTTGTAGACTTCCTGTTTTGTGCAATAAAAAATAAGAAAGGAAAGGTCAACTGAGCCACAGCACCATAAACATTTATTTTGAGCTACTCCATGAAGTGACGTTGCAGTTAGCTCAGTGCTGCCCCCTCTCATTGAGTTAAGGTGTCCGCATGCTTCCCAGCCGAAACAGTTCAGAAGAGTTTGTGCATATATTATGACGATATTTTGTGATATTTTTTGTTCGTTTGGGACTTCAGTAAGTGTTTTTTCGGTTGTTCGGGCACACAATTTTTTTGGGTGAGGCAAGACGAATTCGGTCGCTGAAGTCTACGCCCCTTAGTCGGTGATTGGTCAGCAGTAGCGATTCTTAAGTAAAGTATTTTGTCATTCAACGAGAGACGACTCGTTTTCATGCACATTTTTTCATTGAGAAATAATGCACCAAAACATCTTAGCTAGTTAGATGTAAAATTGCGCGACTAAGACCTTGATAAAAACGTATAAATGAATGACAGATTTCTTGAGTTATTTTAGATTTATTCAGACTATTTTGAGGAAGCGTATACTGGCTACGGCATCTTTTTTAAGGGAGCATGCCAGTATCCTCATTCAGTTCGCCTAGCCGACTTCGATTTTAAAATAATCGGCTCAAGGACATACATCTGGTGTATTAGAAGCAATTATTGGTACCATCTTCTAAAAAATGTTTTATTTAAATGAACATTGACCACGAACTTTGCAATTTTTCCATTCCCTATAACGATGCCTGCATTACCGCGGTCGGCCTTGAACTTCCGTGTCAACATTACAAATATTTTCTAAGATGTGAGATGATTCACTTTCTATCTGAGGGGGGGGGGGGGGGTACACTAATATTTAACAAAAGACAAAAGTAACGCTCCAAAAACTCATTAATTCCTTAACCTTTTTAATTTATATATGTACTAGGAAGCTAAGTGTTTATTTCTTGGGCTTCAGGAATGTGACAGAAAAAGTGCTGCAGGGCTTCAAAAAGAAAAAAGTAAACTGTTTGAAAGTACAAGGGGGATGTCGGGGAACAAATGCCGTGGTCAAGGCTACGATGGCGCCAGTGCAATGAGTGGAGCTTACTCAGGTGTTCAAAAGCTCATATTAGACCGAAACTGGGCAGAATGTAGGAGTGCTTCAAATACAGCAGTTCTACAACATCTTTAATTGCACCTCTCATCCTCCTTAATTGCCGGCGTCATCACGTTGCGGAAAGAGTAACTGTAGGAAGCTCTGAAGACAGGTCGTTTGGACACTGGACAGCCAATACATTGGCAGACGTAAACAGATTATCATATTTAGTAGACAACAGTTCTTGAGGGCTTGAACAAAAAAAGCGGTTTGCGATTTTCATTCATACTGGTGAACCGGCGTTTGAGTTGTGTGGTTGCAATATCAACAGTCCCTTATCTCTGGTATATCTTGGCATGCATCATTCAAGACTAAGTTAAAATTGTGTGCATCGCAATGGACATATAATGCACAATGTCTCAGGAAAGACTGTCTGGGTTGGCAATGCTCAATATGAAAACAGGTCCAACCTGGACCTACAGGCCATGGTGGAAAAAAGGAGGAGACCGGGGAGTCTCTCAAATCGGATTTTATTTGATTTAGGCCAAATTTAATGTACCTTGAATATTGCAGCCCATTTGTGTAGGCTATTAGCCAGACAAAACCTGCTGAGTTCAACAATAAATAGTGGCTGAATTTATCCTCAAGCCGACTACTTTTTTCCTCATTGTTAGAAAACCTAAATCGCAGCTGAAAAAATGGGAATAAAGCTATAGGTAGTTCATTGCATAATCAAACAGTCCCTAGTATCCCACGCTAGTGTTTTGAGGGTGGACTGAATGTATTATTTGGAATTAATAGATAGGCTTTACACACAACAAATGTCTATCCAAGCTGGGAGAAAGCGCAAGGACAGCTCACGTAGGTTCAGGTAGCCTAATACAGGTCAGCTGTATATATATAAAAAAAAAAATCAATTGGTAGCTGTTATTCTGTTCTATCTCAAATGTATTTGACAACCTGCAATGTTTCAATTTCCAACTTTAATTACTGAAAAAGTAATTACATTATGCCACCAGCCAGCAGTCGTAAAATGGCATTGCGACACCATGTATATCTTTGTGAAATGTTTGGCTTAACCTGAGAAATAGGCCTACCAATAAAGATTTATCCATTAGCTAACTCAAAGCTATGCCTTGGCAACGTAGAAAGCCTAACATGTATAGTCATGTTGCAATTTCAGAACCATGAACAGCGATCGGTAGTCTACTTTGTTAGTGGCTTTCTGGCTGACACATTCGAACGCCGACCTTGCGGCGGCCTGTAATGCCAAATAATGTCCCCCAGCCAAAAAGTGTTGTCGCCGTCGTTGTCTGCAATAATATGCAAATCAGTTTGATTCATACACCGGCTTGTCTGGCTGGCATGTTTTTATTTTAAGGTGCCCTTCCCTTATCTACACTGAAATGTCATTAGTGCTCTATTATGATTCATTTTCTTCTATCTCGAATAGCTCATTAGTACACCCTTGTGGTTGAATATACAGTGCATTCGGAAAGTATTCAGACCCCTTCACTTTTTGCACATTTTGTTATGTTACATCCTTATTCTAAAATGGATTAAATTGTCTCTCCCCCCCCCTCCCATAAATCTACACACAATACCCCATAATGACAACGCAAACACAGGTTTTTATACATAAAATAAAAATAAATGAAATATCACATTTACACAAGTATTCAGACCCTTTACTCAGTACTTTGTTGAAGCACCTTTGGCAGCATTACAGCCTTGCGTCTTCTTGGGTATGATGCTACAAGCTTGGCACACCTGTATTTGGGGAGTTTCTCTCATTCTTCTCTGCAGATCCTGTCAAGCTCTGTCAGGTTGGATGGGGCGCATCGCTGCACAGCGATTTTCAGGTCTCTCCAGAGATGTTCGATGGGGTTCAAATCCGGGCTCTGGCTGGGCCACTCAAGGACATTCAGAGACTTGTCCCAAAGCCACTCCTGCATTGTCTTGGCTGTGTGCTTAGGGTCATTGTCCTGTTGGAAGGTGAACATTCGCCCCAGTCTGAGGTCCTAGGCGCTCTGGAGCAGGTTGTCATCAAGGATCTCTCTGTACTTTGCGCCGTTCATCTTTCCCTCGATCCTGACTAGTTTCCCAGTCCCTGCCGCTGAAAAACATCCCCACAGCATGATGCTGCCACCACCATGCTTCACCGTAGGGATGGTATTGGCCAGGTGATGAGCGGTAGCTGGTTTCCTCCAGACGTGACGCTTGGCATTCAGGCCAAAGAGTTCAATCTTGGTTTCATCAGACCACAGAATCTTGTTTCTCATAATAATAATAATAATAATAATATGCCATTTAGCAGACGCTTTTATCCAAAGCGACTTACAGTCATGTGTGCATAAGTTTTTACGTATGGGTGGTCCCGGGGATCGAACCCACTACCCTGGCGTTACAAGCGCCATGCTCTACCAATTGAGCTACAGAGGTGTGAGAGTCCTTTAGGTGCCTTTTGGCAAACTCCAAGCGGGCTGTCATGTGCCTTTTACTGAGGAGTGGCTTCCGTCTGGCCACTCTACCATACATACCTGATTGGTGGAGTGCTGCAGAGATGGTTGTCCTTCTGGAAGGTTCTCCCATCTCCACAGAGGAACTCTGGAGCTCTGTCAGAGTGACCATCGGGTTCTTGGTCACCTCCCTGACTAAGGCCCTTCTCCCCCGATTGCTCAGTTTGGCCGGGCGGGCAGCAATAGCAGGTTCGAAACTTCTTTAAGAATGATGGCGGCCACTGTGTTCTTGGGGACATTTTTTGGTACCCTTCCCCAGATCTGTGCCTTGACACAATCCTGTCTCGGCGCTCTAGGGACAATTCCTTTGACCTCATGGCTTGGTTTTTGCTCTGACGTACAGTGTCAACTGTGGGACCTTATATAGACAGGTGTGTGCCTTTCCAAATCAGGTCCAATCAATTGCATTTACCACAGGTGGACTCCAATCAAGTTGTAAAAACATCAAGGATGATCAATGGAAACAGGTTGCACCTGAGCTCAATTTCGAGTCTCACAGCAAAGGGTCTGAATACGCTTTTCTTTTTAATATGTACATTTGCTAAAAAATTCTAAAACCTGTTTTCACTTCGTCATTATGGGGTATTGTGTGTAGATTGAGATTTTTTATTTATTTAATTCATTTTAGAATAAGGCTGTATTGTAACAAAATGTGGAAAAAGTGAAAGGTCAGAATACTTTGAAGGCACTGTATATGACTAATAAACAAACGTGATAATCTACTTCATTAGAATATAGTAAATATATTTAAATTTAATTTGAGAAAGGCTTTACATTTGTTCAGAGGGAGAAGAAAAATCCAAGTCACAGTCATATTAAAAGTCTTTATTGATATTTGGTCAGTACATGAAAAGGATGGAAGTCAGAATAATGAATTCAACAAGGTACATCGCGTAGAAACCACACACATTGTCAAACAGAAACGTATTATTTTGCCAAGGATAAAAAAAATAAAAGTCAACATCTAAAAGATAACATCCTTCAACATTGCAAAGCTACTAAAGTGAACTGTGGTTTATTGACTTTTATTGAGCATGACTACAACACCAGATGCTTGATAATTTGAGTTTGTCAAGAGTTCAAACAAGAATGTTATGGATCCACATGTTCAAATAACCAAAAGACCAAAGAAAAAAAGATCTAGCTTGAATCATACAAAACTCAATTCATATCTACATACATTAATTAATTTCACGTAATGTTCCTGTTTAGCAACGAAATTATTTTCTTTATCTTGTGGAAGAGGTATCACGATAGGCAAAGGAGAGAGGAGAAAAAGTTCTGGACAGCAGTACTGTGTTACCAACTATGTGTTTGTTTTTGTTTGTGTCTCGTATAAAAAGAAAAAGACAAATTACGTGTTATTATAAAGTACATTACAAAACTGTGCCACCGCTCGCGCTCAGGCCGTTCTGAGCCTGCCGCGACCCCGCAGTCCTGTTGCCCTTGATGACCGGGGCAGCCTTGTCCTCATGGGGGTCGGTGTTGGAGTCTGTGTCGTTCGAGTGCTGCGTCAGGGACGTCTCGCTGCCCGTTGGGGAGTCCACGCTCTCATACCCTGCGCTCAGCTGGCTCCCGAACCCCCCTGCTCCTGCGCCCCCTGCACCGCCACCAGTCTGGCCCCCCACCGCCTCCTCTGAGTGGTTGGAGAGTTTCGTCTCGCCTTCGCCGGGGCTGGAGACCATGGAGGACGGGGGAAAGTCTTCCTCTGCGCTGCTGACCTCACGGTACAGGCTGGGGGTGGCCGCCGCACTCCTCTGGGAGGACGAGCTGCCGTTGCTTGGTCCGTTGGAGACCCTTCCGCAGTCTTTCCCTGCCTGGGCGGAGGAGGGGGTGGAGGGCTGCTCGGGCTGGCTGGGGGGCTCGTTGGAGGGTGAAGTCCTGCTGGGCCCTGCCCCAGAAGAGGCAGCCTGAGCTGGGTTCTGGGAGAGCTGCTGACGAGTCTCCCTGAGCTGCTGCTGGAGGACCAGGATGGTGCTCTGCATGCCCTCCACTTCCTCATCCAGCTGGATGATGAAATCGTTCAACTCTGGGAGGGACAAAAACAGACAAAGCCACCGGTCAGAATACAGGGACAATGAACGCAGTCAGGTTCAAGAAAAAGAGAGACCGCCCCAGGTAAATTAAGGCAAACATTTATAATTTTTTTTCAGCCAGCAGGAAAATACACTGAATATTAGAAATATGTCTAACTAATGCCTTAGCAAAAGCTCCTGCATCTGAATGTACAGGTCTGCTGAATACATGTGGAGGAGAATATAGCTCCTCCAATGCAGAGGTTACAGACCACACTTTACTGTAGCACAGATTAATAACCAGGGGCGCTACAAAGCACACATGGGTCTTCGCTGTGCTGAAATGTAACATTTAAAGCGTAATTTATTTTATGGAAAAACATGAATGCTGATACTATTTGAACCCAGGTCTGAGTAGATGGAGGTGAGCTGTTGTGTTCTCACCGTCCTGGCTGCTCTTGAGCTCCTCGCTGTACTTCTTCTGCAGGGCCAGCTCTGCCTCCAGCTGGGCGATACGTCCCTGGGACAGCTGCCTCCCCAGCTCCTGGTTCTCCTGGATCAGCATCCGGCACTTGGCCATTAGCTTCTTCCCCGTCTGGCTGCAAGGGAGACAGGCCTCACATCACACAATGAACCAGAGGCACAGCCAAATGCCACCCACAGGCAAGGACAGCCCAATCAGTCCAGTGACCTAACCAGGTGGTCACTATGGTGGTGTTCCAGGTTATAATTTATGCAGTCACGCTCTGTAGATTATCAGATCATCTCACATTGCTTGGAGAGGTGTTTAACCTTGCAGGTACCACATTGAGATCTTCTGATATGTGCAGCACGACAGCAAAAAAAAAAAAGGGACCTGTAACACCACCGTCCCCACCCATCCACGAACACTATGAATCTGGTCCATCCAGACAGCAAGTTTCCATTTTCCAAAGTAGTACAGTTGTAGATAAATACCGGAGACAGTTTGGCCTAGGCAAAGGATACCAGCAACAATAGCATAGACGCACATTCCGATAAAACAGCAACAATCTTATGCAGCAGCAGTACCTTTACTTTGAGTACCCCTATGCACATTTTACTACTACAAGTGGGCCTACACAGCTCAACAGGATAAGGACCAAGTTAAAGTACCCAATTTCAGCAACCATACTTTTGGTTTCTACACACCCAATTGTACTTCAACAGCAAATCACACCTAAAAAATCTTAGTCTGTCACAACCGACCAGCTTCTACAGGCGTGAGTATGATTACTCAGTCAGCACCTTGGACAAGGTCACCTGAGGTAATAATGCACTTACCACAACAAAACATCCTTCTCTGCTGACTCTTTTAAAATAAGAGGCAACTCACATGCTTAAATTGCATTGACATTTCAGAGGAACCATGGCAGCCAGGGAAATCTCAACTTCAGAATAGTCACCACTTCCCTTGAAACCTAGGAACACTGCATGTCACAACAGACTACAGATACTTCCTAAAAACACAGCAGCTTGGACTGACACTGGTTCCAGAAGCATTTGTGAAAACCATCCTATTGAAAATGAACTGTGAGAGTCAACCGATGAGATTTGACCTTTGATTACATTTCGTAATACTTGGCAACAATGCATGTCTGACAAGGATGTTTCATTCAGCTTTACCACATCGAAACAAGTATTTTGACCATCAATAAAATGACGTTAGCCAAGTATTAGAAAAATAAAACACCAGACACTCTTAGGAGAAACTGGATGAGCAGCTGATAGTGGATTTTAAATCTAAAGGATTAGAACACACAATCTTGTTACTTTGGTTGCTACCTGAAAAGGTCAAGGGCTATCAACTATTTTTGCTTGCCATCAGCAATGTAAAATGTTGCTTCTTTTAAGAAAACTACTTCCAATGGATCATACCCATCATTGCTTTAGCAGACAACACCTCAGAACCGGAGTCTTGTGGTGAGTACAGCATAATAGTAATTTTACGGGTAGTTCCCACCACGAGTGTTGTAACTATATTGATGGCCAGATATCCAAGGCTGGATATAGGCTGTTTACCTAGTTGCGTTGTTTAAATTGAAAATCAATCAATGATTTGCATATTTCTCATAAATTACTATGCCCATAAATAGTCCAATTAATTTCATCTGTTAAAATGTCAACTGGAATTGACCCCCCAACAAAAAAAGGTTTAAGGTTGCTGGGGTGGGGTGTGAGGTCAACAACATGAATACACAAAGAACAATATCATATTGCACTGAATAAATACATTCTCATGAAGTTGTAACATTACTTGTTTCACACATTTGTAGTCATTATGAGAAAATAAAACTCAAGCACCAACTGCAGTGTGTACGTTTTACAAATAATAATTTGGAAACATCAACCATCAAAATAATGTAGCCTACCAGATGTTCTTTTTTTCAAGATCATCAAATCGAACAGAGCAAATGTCTCTGTTGACACACTGCAGTGCAAGAGTATTTCAGAGAACCAAAAAGAGGAAAGTAAATGAAACAGCAACATAAGAGGCAACTCACAAAATAAAACATGTAAATACACTCAATCCGTATGTGGGCCCATGCGCAAAGACACAGGCGATCGGACCCTCGCTCACTCACGCCTCAACTTCTGGACTGAGGGTCTGGCTCCTCCCCCAGAGTCTTAAACATTCTACTGGCTCCTCCCTCCAAAGTCTTACAGCTTATCCTAGAACCTTTCCCACAGTATTTTCATTGTATTCTACAATCTGTCCGAGAGTCTTAGAGTCTCAGGAGCACTAGCGGGTATGGGTGTGGTGTTTTCCACTGTTAAATGTCTTTAGCTAGCGGGGCATTGTCTTTAAATGTTCAATTGGTGATTTAGGCTAGGGGTGCTCTCCCTGCTCCGGCAGTTTGCCCAAGACTGCCTCAATCTCCACCATAACCCCCCCCACCCCCATTTAATAAGGCAACTGTCTGGCTTGGGCTGAGAGAGGAGGGAGGGGGGGCATATCCGTGTCGGACGTGACCACCTCTTCAGGAACAGTCCCGACTCCTTCAGGGCCCCTGGACGGTGAGGGGGGATGAGAGAGCTGAAACACAAGTGTCACCTGACCATACTGTTTTTTTCATTCAGTTTAGATTATGTGATATGTAGCTGGGGGACAGTACAAGAGCACACAAAACATGGATGGCAGTTTGTTTTTTTGTGTTTGGGTTTTTGGTAAAGTCTGAGTCTTGTGGTGAGTACAGTATTTCTCAGCCATCCCCCCCACCATGATTTCTGCATGCCTGCAGTGGGGGTGGGGGGTGTGAGGATGTCTTGACTTTTTTTGGGGGGGGTGGGAGGAGGGGGAGTTATTTTGATTGTCTTTACCTATCTGGTGTAAATTTCCAGGCACTCAGTTCATTTTGGGCCTGCTCCAGTTTGTCTTTAGTCTGTTCCAGTTCACCCTTCATTTTGAGGAAAAATAAGTTGATGGCCGGGTCTACCATGGACGACCGCAGTTGGGCGGCACTGGGTTGTTGGACTTGCTTGAGGTACTGGATCTGGGTCTGCAGGTTGAAAGAGACAAGTGTCAATAAATGCACAAGCACATAAACTCAACTTAGAAAATCCCTCCTTAGGCTTCTGAAAGTTAACAATAAAAATACATTGACTTGACTTAATTTACACAAGAGGCAATGGATGTGGCTAATAACAGAACTATAAAATCACAGTCACCATTACTGTAGCTGAACACAAAGTCATGCTTACACATTCATTTAACTTTGTAAATCATTATTGAAAATAAGTTATTGCCTTCAAAAGACACATTCTTGTTTCAACTACAGAGTCCAAGTGTGGGACTGGACTCATGTTATACACCATAACTCAGGGTAACATTTTATGCACCCAACTATCCGAGTCAGTTTGATTGACCTCAGTTGCCCGACAGAATGAATGGCATTTGCTGTTGGGTGAGCCAATATGCTGTCATTCAGAAAGTGAGAGCTCTGACAAGCAAGGCTTCATATTGTCCATATACTGAATTTCTACCTGAGACTTACCCAGCACCAGTGTGTCGCCAGTAGTGAAGGGGAGGTGGATCGATAGTTACATATTAGGGATATCATTTTTAAAAAAACGATATATTGTATCGGTTTGACAATATCGCAATACTATTTTGCGCTTCTTGGCTATACCTGCACTAAAACTACAGTTCCTTCATAGCTTGTTCTCCATCATCTTTTTAAATAGGGAGCCAATGTGTTTTCAGCACTTTTATTTCCATGACTGATCAAAACTCTTGTCTCTCTGCAGCAGACATATGGTGATCAATATGTTTTGAACATCGAATCGCAATAAAAATCAGAGTATGGAATTGCAATACAAATCGTATCCGCACCTAAGTATCGTGATAATATTGTATCGTGAGGTCCCTGGCAATTCCCAGCCCTAGTCACCAGTGTTTATGTTAATGTGAGCTCTAGTGTTATTTTGTTTCCATCAGGAGTGTGACACTAAAGACTTGGGGTGAGCAGGGAGGAGTAAACTATTGACAAACCATCGATAAGGTGGAAACTATGCTGTACTGTACCCCCCTTTCCCAGCACAGCTTGGGAATAGGATTTAGACTAAGTTCAATATCTACACTTGTATCCAGAATGTTGAGGTCTACCGCGTGACTAACATTTTGTTACTAAAATAAAAGGTGCATGAATAAGACACAATGAACCTGTTTGCAAATCTATTTTTATGCCAGAATTGTGACGCCTTGCAACATCAGAGCGATTACCATTGAAGACAAAATGTATGTAATGGTTAGATGTGCCATTGAAAACCAAACGAGAAAATGTCAATAGTTCCTCTTTAAAGCTAAAACTAGGCCTACATATCCCCCAGTCCCCTCATTTAGAAAAACAGCAGGAAGTATTGCAGTGGGATACGTACTGTACACTCTTGCATTTCCTGCTCCTTGGTGGCGAGCCGCATGACCAGGATGTTCTCCCTGCGTGACGCCTCCTGCTGCTGCTGCTTCAGCTTCTCCTCAGACTCCTTCAACCCAGTCACATCGTTCGCTGAGACGGTGAGTGGAGAAAAACAACGCACAGTTAACCTCACTATCATGTGTCAACTGAAAAGTCATCAACACCTAAACGAAAATAAAAACTTCAAAAGGTGTTGAGTGTGAGTATTTGTACTTCTAAAATTTGAAACTGATACCCAAAGCCTACCACTAGAAACATAGGATAATCCTTCCCTATCAACAGCTGACACTCTTCACTCTTATTCTACTGAATGATGACTTGGTAAAATGTTGGGAGTAGGCCTACATTGTGTGGAGCACTTACAATTCAGATCAGCATATTTTGCCTCCAGGATCTGGACATAGGCTTCATGTTGGTTCCACCTAAAGGACCAATAATAAACATGAACACACTTGTTCTCACATCCAAACAGAAACAATCATCCCACCCTCTTCCATCTACCGTAGTGTTATCTATTTACCTCACACACAGTTCCTCTCGGGTCAGGGTCTTCATGTCAGATTCACTGAGGCGAACCTGAATGAAGAAAATGGGAAAGAGTCAGAAAGTAAAAGGCTTTAGCTACATAAAACTATCAATACTGGAATCTTGGTATACAAATAGAGGCGGGCTCTCACCTTCTTTGGAAGAGGTTCCTCATTTGTCATTCTGAGCTCTGAAAGGGAAGTAAAAGAAGTACCAATTAATTGAGTGGAAGTTTCAAGAGCAAGCCGTTCAATAATGATACTTGAGCTGCTACAGCAGATCATCAAATATTATAAAAGTGACTTTTCGTAGCAGGGTTGGAGCATTGAGGTATAAAAGAACGGTTAGGAGAAAATGTTCGCTAACCATGACCTTAAGCTAGTTTTAACCTACTGCGAAAAACTAACGTCCGGTCGTAGCTGTATTGAAGTGGCGTGTTTTTAGGGAATCTCTAAAAGGATTACGTTAACTAGCTAGCTAAATTGCTATTGTTACCACAATACACCTACTAGCTGCAGTTGCTAGTAAGCTTGAAGTATTCAAATATTTGAATTGACATATGCCAGTCTGATCTATTTTCTTTGTTTGCTTTAGTTCCAACATTAGCTAGCTAGTCCTCATGCATCTCCATGTTGAGTGTTAGCTAGTTAAAACCAGACTATTACAACTCTGATTATTTAGGTTATACTCGATAAACGTGGTAGCAATTCCATTAATATGTATTTGTTTCATTTTAAAGCATTTATTAGCAGGATAATACGCAATGGCCATCCAACTGTTACATTAGCTAGCATGTCTTGTCTCGACAAGAAAACAAAATAACTAACACCTCACATTGACCCACGTCAGACTTACGAGCTACTTTTGAATTCAGTCTAACGAAGTGTTACCTACTTTTAATTATGATTTCAAATAAAATGTCTACATGTGCATCGTCTTAAATTATGTTTTACCAAAGATGTGCTGCTAACGTTAGCTACCTTTCGGTTCTCGTGTTTTCTGCTTCTTGTTGTCACAAAATGGCGGAGAAGGAAGAGACTCCAGACTCTCCCCTTGCACAAATTAGCGTTCCTCTTCCTTTCGCGGACTCGTGTTTTCAAAAACCTGCCGCAAATGAACACTTACCGGACCCGTTTCCTTCAATATTCGAAACCAGTATGTGTTGAACGCCTTAGTACCAATATGCAACTTTACAATCCGATTTTAATAGTTTGTTAACTTAATTATTGTTATTCGAATTCGTCACCACAGAGATTCGGTGTCGCCGCCATCATCCGAGAGGCGATGGCAACCGCTGCTGCGCATCAAAGCTCTCTGCTTGCCACCCTATAGTGCTGAAGGGGCGGGCTGAGTTCACATGATGCTATCAGAAATGTTAGGCTAGCTAAGTTTGTCACTACAGAATCACATCATTTTAAATTACTATCAATCCAAACCATTTAGAGAAAACATGTTTTGAACTAGCCAGATAAATAGTTGTTCAACATCTTCAGAAAATGCCAAACAACGGGATGCACAACATGCATCGCTCTACTTTTTTTGCTGTATGTGCCTGTCATTAGTTGGCTAGCTGGAAAGTTAGATGTGTTGAAGTGTCATCAGTTGAAAGCTGCCATTAAAGAAACATTAGACGATATTGTTTTAAAATGTCAACCAGTCATTGCCACAAGAGTTCACCTGTCAAGTTCGCTAAAAATGAGAAATGCAGCTTGGGTAAAAAAAAAGTCAAGGCCATCAGGAAGCAAAATGGGATGGTGGAACTGATATGGAACGGGGGTGAAGGTGTTCTAACTGTCCAAATGTTTTTATTTTGCCCAACGTAGCTAATCCCTTTTGCCCTAAACGTTATTGTAATTATACAGCACACATATTTTTTGCCTTGTATACGGTTTGTAGTGAAATGTGCGTGCATAAGTAAATACGTCTCTGCCGCCACACCCACGTACTGATAATGGTATCTTCTAACAGTGATGTTGAATTTCAAGGGCAGTTCTACTTCTATTCTGAAAGGTGAGCTGCCCATACGGTGTGAAGAAACATGAGCATGCTAAGCAGAGTGGGTCAATTGCGCAGGTAAAACCACAAAATGCAATGAAGTTATCCATTCGGTAACAAGCCAGTACAAAGCTATGATTTATACACGAAGAAGGGCGATAACATAGAGAGATGTTGCTATTGTTACGTTTACTGTTGTTAGCTTCACGTGAGGATTGCTAGTTATAGATGTCTAGCTAGTTTGTGTTTAGTAACGTTTAGTTACCTTTAATAGCTACTAGTAGCTAGCTAGATCGTAACGTTAGCTACTCCCATATAACGATAATGTAGTGAGTGGCATTACCCAGCTTGTTACTGGCAATTCAGAAATTACTGACAGTAAAATCTCTTAGTTTAACAAGCCGTTTCTACAAGTTGATAAGCTGAAATTTGCTTATATGTGCGTTTGGCTGGCTAACAAGTATGTTTTATACTTGTAAAAGTTGTCTATTAGCGATACCCTGGCATTATTTTGACACCTGTGTTTGCCTTGTTTTGTAATAGACAGCATCATGAGGCAGGCCTTGCCCCCTTGGCTTGACAACTGAACACTCAGCTCAGGCCGCAACAGAAAACTTCTGAACTTCATAACATAGCTAACGTTCTTTTTATCTCAGCTGCCAGGACTAGAGTAAATGTCTATCTATTCTCAACACAAGTAGTTTGTTAATCTTAGACAAATGTAGCTAAGTTGTGAATGATACAGTAGACCCCCAGAAATTCAGGTCAATTGTGCAAGACTCTGAATCAGAGATAATTTGACCCTGTGTGAACTCCCTTCCCAACTAATCCAACCTCTTCTCAGGCTGTCAGCTGGGGCCATGAGCTGCTTCTAAATTGAAGCTGGCATGCAGCAACCATTACTTGATGAGCTGGAAACAGTTTTACTGCTTATGCTTGATAACATTTCCCATGGATGGGAATGACTGATGACGTTGACATATCACTATTTCCTGGGGTTTTAGGTGTGCTGCCACCCTGAGCCCAGCCCTGGGCACGGTGGCAGCCAGACAGAAGCACTCGCTCCCTGACCTGACCTATGACTATGGAGCACTGGAGCCCCACATCAACGCAGAGATCATGCAGCTCCACCACAGCAAGCACCACGCCACCTACGTTAACAACCTCAACGTCACAGAGGAAAAGTACCAGGAGGCACTGGCCAAGGGTGAGAGGAAAGCCTGCTGCTTAGGCCTTAGTAATTTACAAAAAAAGTGGTGATATTATGACAGACTGTTATCTCAGACAGATGCACAATAATGGCAGAGACCTAGAGGACCACCATGTGTTTCTTGTCACTGTCTTAATGTCCCAGCCTAGGAGTGCCTTGGAGTCTGTATTACATCCCATTCTTGGCTGGTTAAGGGATTGTGTAGTTCCTGGATGAGGTTCCTTTTTGAACATTTAATTGAGTCATAAATGCATACCTGTCCAGTATTTACACTTGTAGTATGTAGCCAATCCCTTACCTGCATGTGTACCTGTGATGCATTTCAGGAGATGTGACAGCACAGGTTTCTCTCCAGCCTGCTCTGAGGTTTAATGGAGGAGGCCACATCAACCACACCATCTTCTGGACAAACCTCTCCCCAAACGGGGGTGGAGAACCACAGGGTGAGTAGCCACGGACACCAGGCATCTCTCACGTTGTTCGAAAGCCTCAATCATTTGGAACTATCACAGGTTTATATAATTTGTGGGAAAGTAGCAACGATAGCCTATATGTTCCACTTGCATTTTCATTTCACTCTTTCCTGAATTTGCTAAATTGTTCATATGTGCAACCCATTGGAAACTTGAATGTAATTCATCAGTCTGACCATTCTTTGTTTGTCCATCCTGTCACAGGTGAGTTGGCAGCAGCCATCAAGCGTGACTTTGGCTCCTTCCAGGCATTGAAAGACAAGATGTCTGCCGCCACTGTGGCGGTCCAGGGCTCAGGCTGGGGCTGGCTGGGCTTCGACAAGGAAAGCGGGAAGCTCCGTATCACAGCCTGCCCTAATCAAGACCCACTGCAGGGAACCACAGGTCAGTGGCTACTGGCTAGGTCCCAGTACTGTAATTTGTTATCTTGTCAATGTCTGCCTGGGGCCCAAACAAGGGTACAGTGCCAGTGAATGACATACAGTGCCTTCAGAAAGTATTCACACCCCTTGACTTTTTCCACATTTTGTTGTGTTAAGGCCTGATTTTTTAAAACAAATTAATACAAAATTAAAAGCTGAAATGTCATGAGTCAATAAGTATTCAGCCCCTTTGTTATGGCAAGCCTAAATAAGTTGAGGAGTAAAAATGTACTTAACAAGTCACATAATAAGTAGCTTGGACTCTGTGTGCAGTAATAGTGTTTACATGATTTTGAAATGACTACCTTATCTCTGTACCCCACACATACAATTATCTGTAAGGTCCCTCAGTCGAGCAGTGAATTTTAAACACAGATTCAACCACAAAGACCAGGGAGGTTTTCCAATGCCTCGCAAAGAAGGACACCTATTGGTAGATGACATTTTTTTTAAATAAAAAGCAGACATTGAATATCTCTTTGAGCATGGTGAAGTTATTAATTACACTTTGGATGGTGTATCAATACACCCAGTCAAATCAAATCAAATGTTATTTGTCACATGCGCTGAATACAACAGGTATTCACCTTACCGTGAAATGCTTACTTACAAGCCCTTAACCAACAATGCATTTCAATAAATATTTACTAAATGAACTAAAGTAAAAAAAAATATATATATATATATATATATATATATCAAAATTTAACTACAACGATACAGCTGTCCTTCCTAACTCAGTTGTCGGAGAGGAAGGAAACCGCTCAGGGATTTCACCAAGAGGCCAATCATGACTTTAAAACAGTTACAGAGTTGAATGGCTGTGATAGGAGAACTGAGGATGGATCAACAACATTGTAGTTACTTCACAATACTAACCTAATTGACAGAGTCAAAAGAAGGAAGCCTGTACAGAATAAAAAATATTCCAAAACATGCATCCTGTTTGCAACAAGGCACTAAGGCAACAGTGCAAAGAATGTGGCAAAGCAATTCATTTTTTGTCCTGAATACAAAGTGTTATGTTTGGGCCAAATCCAATACAACACATTACTGAGTACCATACTCCATATTTTCAAGCATAGTGGTGGCTGCATCATGTTATGGGTATGCTTGTAATTGTTAAAGACTGGGGACTTTCAGGATAAAAAATAAATGGAATACAGCTATTAAGCACAGACAAAATCCTAGAGGAAAACCTGGTTCAGTCTGCTTTCTACCAGACACTGGGAAATGAATTCACCTTTCAGCAGGAATATAACCTAAAACACAAGGCCAAATCTACACTGGAGTTGCTTACCAAAAATATGGTGAAAGTTCCTGAGTGGCTGAGTTACAGTTTTGACTTAAATCTACTTTAAAATCAATGGCAAGACCTGAAAATGTTTGTGTAGCAATGATCAATTTGACAGAGCTTGAAGATTTTTTAAAAGAATAATGGGCAAATGTTGCACAATCCAGGTGTGGAAAGCTCTTAGGAGACTTACCCAGAAAGACACAGCTGTAATCGCTGCCAAAGGTGCTTCTACAAAGTATTGACTCAGGGGTGTGAATACTTATTTAAATTAGATATTTATATATTTTTCATTTTCAACATAGGCATGATTTCCCTTTGTTATTATGGGGTGTGTGTGTGTGTGGATAGGTGAGAATAAAAATCAATTTAATCAATTTTGAATTCAGTTTGTAACACAACAAAATGTGGAAAAAGTCAAGGGGTATGAATACTTTCTGAAGGCACTGTATGCCCAGTTATGTTACTGTTGAATTATTTTACTTAATTATTTTGTATTTTTCCCCCAGGTCTGGTCCCCCTGCTTGGTATTGATGTGTGGGAGCACGCCTACTATCTCCAGTACAAGAATGTCCGACCAGACTACGTCAAAGCCATCTGGAATGTCATCAACTGGGAGAACGTGAGCGAGCGCCTCCAGGCCGCCAAAAAGTAGACTATTCCCCCTCAGAACACACACACATGCTCTTCCTTCCTGCCCCAAACCTTACCCCTGCAGACCTTACTCCCTTAAGAGCGCACAAAATACCCTCATAACCCAAATGAAGATGGCTGCCGTAAACTGTACCATGTAGGTTTCTAGAGAGAATATTCAGTCTGTAAAGCCGTTTGTTTGTCCGAAATATACAGTGGAAATAAAAAGTCTACACACCCCTGTTAAAATGCCAGGTTTTTGTGATGTAAAAGAATGAGACAAAGATAAATCATGTCAGAACTTTTTCCACTGTTAATGTGACCTATAATGTGAACAATTCAATTGAAAAACAAACAAATCTTTGAGGGGGGAAAATGAAAAATAAAAACCTTACAATAACCTGGTTGCATAAGTGTGCACACCCTCTTATAACTGGGGATGTGGCTGTGTTCAGAATTAACCAATCACATTCAAACTCATGTTAAATAGAAGTAATTACACACCTGCCATCATTTAAAGTGACTGATTAATCACAAATAAAGTTCAGCTGTTCTAGTAGGATTTTCCTGGCATTTTCTTAGTTGCATCTCAGAGCAAAATCCATGGTCCGCAGAGGGATCTCATTGTTGAAAGATATCAGTCAGGAGAAGGGTACAAAATAATTTCCAAAGCATTACATATACCATGGAACACAGTGAAGACAGTCATCATCAAGTGGAGAAAATATGGCACAACAGAGACATTACCAAGAACTGGACGTCCCTCCAAAATCTATGAAAAGACGAGAAGAAACCTGGTCAGGGAGGCTTCCAAGAGGCCTACAGCAACATTAAAGGAACTGCAGGAATTTCTGGCAAGTACTGGCTGTGTGCTACATGTGACAACAATCTCCCGTATTCTTCATATGAATGGGGTAGGGTGGCAAGCGGAAGCCTTTTCTTACAAAGAAAAACATCCAAGCCCGGCTGAAGTTTGCAAAAACAAACAAAGTCCCCCAAAAGCACGTGGGAAAATGTGTTATGGTCTGATGAAACCAAGGTTGAACGTTTTGGCCATAATTCCTAAAGGTATGTTTGGCGCAAAAACAACACTGCACATCACCCAAAGAACACCATACCCACAGTGAAGCATGGAGGTGGCAGCATCATGCTTTGGGGCTGTTTTTCTTCAGCTGGAACCGGGGCCTTAATCAGGGTGGAGGGAATTATGAACAGTTCCAAATACTAGGCAATTTTGGCACACAACCTTCATGCGTCCGTTAGAAAGCTGAAGAGGAAGTTCACCTTTAAGCACGACAACGACCCAAAGCACACATCCAAATCCACAAAAGCATGGCTTCACCAGAAGAAGATTAACGTTTTGGAATGGCCCAGCCAGAGCTCAGACCTGAATCCAATTGAACATCTCTGGGGTGATCTAAAGAGGGCTGTGCACAGGAGATGTCCTCGCAATCTGACAGATTTGGAGCGCTTTTGCAAAGAAGAGTGGGCAAATATTGCCACGTCAAGATGTGCCATGCTAATAGACTACTACCCCAGAATACTGAGTGCTGTAATAAAATAAGGGTGTGCACACTTATGCAACCAGGTTATTGAGTTTTCTATTTTTAATTTTTCCCCCTCAAAGATTTTAGTTTGTTTGTCAATTGAATTGTTCACGTTATAGGTCACATTAAAGGTGGAAAAAGTTCTGACATGATTTATCTTTCTCATTCTTTTACATCACAAAAACCTGGCATTTTAACAGGGGTGTGTAGACTTTTTATATCCACTGTAGCTAGGTTTCCATCCAATTGTCGACAGATTTTCATCCAAATATTCTAAAATCTGCATAAAAACGATGTGCATTTTCCCACTAGAGATGTTTCCTTCAAATCGACTTGTTGCAGATGAAAGGCTGTGCGTGATGACAGTACACAGAAATACCTTATGCGGTTAAATTCCCATGTACTGAATAAAAAAATACAAGTTAAATGGGTTTCCATCGCATTTAACTCTAATGATTGTTTTCTCACAAAAAAAGTGCATTATATACCAAGTGTGCCCAGTCTTGTATTGGCACATGTCCTCTAGCGCTGTGAGCGCACGTATATCTCACATTATGAGATTATTATGGACAAAAGAGCGAGAATTTTTATTTGTCAAACGGCAGACAAGCATCGATGATCATGTCACCAGAATAAGACCCTCCATTTTTCTTGGAAAGGAGCATCAAGCTCCTCATCTTGCACTATCACCACCGTGTGAAGTCATCATAATTTATTTAATCTGTAGCCTAATAAACTGCATGCTTTCCCGACGAGTCGTAGTGAGATGACCACACGTCATCGTGTGACTCAAAGTTTACTTCGATATGATTGTTATTATATCAATGTTTGCTCCTAAGTGTTTCCACCGACATTTCTCACAAGTGTTTTTTTAAACAATATTCTGTTTCCATCAGGCCTGTCATGACATTGTTTTATCCGACATGTACTTTACACGCATGAAAAGGTTGGATGGAAACCTGGTTAGAGATGCACAAATATCAGGAAAATGTGATGAGGCAAATGTTTTTGTGATATAATAAAATATATTTAATTTGAATTGTATCTGCTTTGTTGTTTTGGGTTTTTGTTTAATTAACCCCCTAAGGTTGACGTCCGCGCCCCGCGGACATCTAATAAGCATAATAATAAAAAATCCCCATCGAAATCCACCGCATCTGCCTATGTCACACTTCCGCATCTGCGGTGAAAGGTGACAGAGCTAGAGCGGTGTTTGTCAGACCATGAGACATCCCAAAAATCGGTCTTCTCACAAAATCGTCTGTAGTGTCCGAACAGTTTGGCCTACAAACTATTATGACTCCTCTATGGAAAGTTGAGACGTACTCGTCTGAAGGTCCCCCGGTACCAGCTGAAAAAATGAATGGAAGTGTAATGGAGACTGTTTAATGCCAAAAATATGGGGTTAAATACATGTTTAAAAAAAAAACTAACAAATGTTTCCTGATCTTTCTTATACCTCTCATATAGGACAGACACTTCAAAACAAACTTCCTTTCGATTGTTTTGGGGGGACTGTTGTTCCATGTAGTGAATCTGTTCTTCGTTGCTTTCGTATGGGCTAATAGCAGTAAGGCCAAAACAAAGATATTTTTTTGATACATCAAGGGCCCCCCCACACACGCCAGCTTAGACTGATGGTTAAAGGTCAGTGTCACTCATGTAAATGCAGAGTGTAAGAGCAACGTAATTAATCAGCATACACAATGTTTCTACCAAGCTGTTTGTATGTCTGCATACACATATTTCACAAGATGGCTACACTGTCCTGAGGTTCAAAGGCATGAGAGAGAAAAGCAAAAAAGAGCCGCAAATGAATACAATTTATAAAAGAATACGGAGCGCTATAGAGTATAACTAATGGTCAGTGTGGTGGAGATGCTAATTGTTTTAATTTAAACTCCGACATCCACACAGCAGGTTTGGAGAAACGACTCGTCTTCTGAAAATTCCTTCACAGTGATTTATAATAATTCTTAAGAAAGCACGCTCTGAAACTGTTTTTATATTATACTGAAGGAGAGCCTATCCAAGCCATATGGATACAATTTAACTTTTTATTAATCATAAAATATTGAATCCATAATTTCCTCATTTGATAACTCTCTGGTCTGTCACCATAACAGTAGTCAGCTAAGTTCACCTGTACAGTCAGTGCTATACTTTGAAAAGGTGACCTAGAAGATGTCATATAGGACTGGCTTGTTTTCAAAGGACAGTTTGTCTGAACTTGTCATTCTTGACTAACTGAAAAAGATCAATACATGATCACGATCATGCCCACTGTCATTTAACATTTTCACCAATAGGTGGCACTATTTGTTCTGTTTCCTCTTTTTATATTGTCTTTCTAAGGAATATGAGAACTAAAGTGTATTTTCAGTGAATTAGAGATTAGAGGCTTGGTTCTTGAAAATGTGTCATGATTTATGAAGTTGGGCTGAGCTGGCTGCATATCTTTGCTGTAGCTTTGATTTGACTTTAACCCTGCTTCTAATTTAAGTTTTAGTTAGACAGCCCTTGTCTAAAATTGGATGCCACATTCACTTTTAAGTCCTTTTTTTTAAAGGCCACACCTGTTACGCTTAATTTCCTCTCATTGCTCTCACAATGCCTCTTGAGCATGACTCCAGAAGATGCTTCTCTTCTTGACATCTGTGTAGTGCACTGTGTGCAGTAGGAAACTCCATGCTGCCCTTTGAGTGGCTCCCATCTCTGTACAGATTACATAGGGCCAATGTTCCTCCATTTTCTGCATGGGCGAGCTGCCTTTGTTTTACAATCCCCTGTTTGCCTAGCTTCTGCACCGTAACCATTTATTCCATCAAAGCACAGTGGATTCCATTGAAGTGAGATATACAAGGTGCTTTGATCATGTCAACCGCTATCTTTTATATTTTCTTGGAGAGCTTAGCAAAGTATCCATCTGTGGTAATATAGCTGGTGTGTATGCATGCATGAGTGTGCGTGTGTATTCAAGAAGGAAATAAATTCTGATTTGGGGGGGAAAGAAATCTATTAAGGAGAAGTTTACGGTGTCTGACAATTTCTCCCAGCTGTTTTGACTTCTGTCAGCCAATCCTACCCTATGATAACGATTAGGACCCAGCTGGCCAATAGAGACGTCAGTTCCAAGAGCTCCGTCCACTCAATGGAGACCCTGCCCCTTCTTCCTCGTTGGTATTGTCATGTCCTCAAATTTTTTATAAACAACTAAAATGTTGACCACTTTCCCAACAAGTTAGACAACAAAGTTTGAGGGTATGACATCATCTACTTCTCTGCTATTCAAATCTGTTGTAAGAACAAATATGTGCTACGGATCTAACGATACAGCTGTTTAAGTAACTGCATTAACATTTTCCCCCAAAACGTTATCCAAACAACTGCCTTTTTGTCCACTCCCCCAATAAGTCAGACAAACCTAGAGCGTATGAAATCTTCCTCTACTTCTCTTCAAATCTGAAAGTGGAAC